AAAAAATGTAGACCAACAATTCTTCTCATATTGACCATTAAGAAATTATTTATATATTTTTTTCTTATTTTACCAGATATTATTAATTTTAACAATTTCTCTTTTATTTATTTATTTTTTTTTATGTTTAACATCAGAATAAAAATACAAGGAAAAACTTCCAAACAAAAGAAAAATATGAAGAAATTAATAATTTTATTTATTCTTTTAATATTAAATAAAATATTTTTTACATTATATACTTTTTTTTAACTAACCTTTATTAAATATAATTAATAATCGGTTTTGACTAATTATTTTTACCAAAACTAACCATATCCGAATGATTTATGGGTGCCAGAACCAAAAAAACTATCTTGTTTTTTGTATATTGTACTATATAATAATTTCATAAAATAGTAATTACTCAATTTTATAAACTTAAAGCCGTAAAATGTATAAGTCAGAAAAAAGTGTTATATCGGGAAATTCACTAGGTATTCCTGATTTTTCAGACCTTCACATTTGAAGCCAAACTGGAAAACTTATCGACTTTTTTCATATTTTTAATTTTATTTAATTAATTTATTTTTTATGTGAGCTTGCCATTTTTTTATCCTGAAAATACTTGAGCTGGCGAAACGTAGACTGGTTAGTTAGTTACGGATATTTTAGAGGCTTATGACTTTTATATAATCTTCCAATTATTTTCTGAACAAATTTTATAAGAACCACATTTTGTACGTTTCAGGTTATAATCCACAATTTAATTTCGTCAAATTTGGGAATTTTAAACTTTTAAAACAGCAAAAATATACAATTTTCATATTAATATGAACAGCGAAAAATATCTGAAAAAGTCTTTGTCTTTAGTGATATGACGTCAGTGTTTAAATAAGATTTTGAATAACAAACCGAGATAATTTTTTTTTTATATTGCATTATCATGACATTGAGTAAGTGATATGTCGAAAAAATCGAAAAGTTGATGACCCCGATGCCTTAAAAGGGGTTTGGAAATTAGAACATCAACGAAAAAAAACAAAATTACAAAAAAGTTCAAAACAGATCTGATCTCACTTCTATTTACGTTTGTACAAATGACGCACAAAATTAATTCAGATAAATTAAATATTTAATATAAAAAGTTTAAAAAAGTATGTTGAACAAGAAGAAGAAAAAAAAACGAAAACAAATTCCTGAATTTTTTAAAGGGATTTGTTATTTTTTTTTTTATTTAGTAAATATTTAACAAATTTAATTGTCACCGTATTAACTATTGGATAGAATTCACTGATAATTATCAGTGAATTTCAAACTAAAATAGTTACCGTTTAACAGCTTTAGTTTAATAGCTTTAGGATATCCACAGCGGCTTAAGTCCCCTCCATTGTTCGATTACACATATAACTGAACTTTCCTCTGACCATAGTCCTTTAATTCTTAATGTTTCACTTGAACCCGTTCCCAAATCTTCTCCACCGTCATTTATTAGGGGCCCCGTTAACTGGGACCTTTTCCGCCAAATCCTCTTCGATAAAATTGATCTCAATATATCCTTAAAAACTTCCGATGACCTAGATAGTGCCGTAAATTCCTTTACCACCACAATCCAGCAAGCCGCCTGGACTGCCTCCTTCCCAAAAGACTCCCCCCGAATTCCTAAAAAGACCATTCTAATCCTCCTCAATCCTCCTCGAAGGTTGAAGCGGCAGAGGCCAAGAGAATTGTAGTAAGAATATATAGGAGTTATAGTAATGGCCAGATTCTCCACTCAAGCCATGTATGTCTGGTTTATTCATTTTGTTAGATTGGTTTATTTTTATTTAGTTTATATACAATTTACTTTAGTATTATTATATTGCCGTTTATTATTTTACTATTGGCGGAGTAACCGGGGCAATTGCCCCAGGGTTCCGGCCTATCTTCAGGGGCGCTCGCCACTTGTAAGACAAAATAAAGTTATAAAATGTGTTATAATAAATAATTTTAATCTACCAATATAGCAACTGTATTAGAAAAATTACAAATGGAATAAAATGCCAATATTATATAATATGAAACAGCTAAAGAATTTTTTTTTTTTTTTATTATTAACGAAATTTACAACTGTAATTAATAATAAATACAACACGTAAATATGAACAAGTAATATGACATGTACAACATGAGGAGAAACTACCCATTGGTAGCACTCCAAGCTAAAGAAATAAATTTAATTTTTAGAAGATGGGAATGACGTCATTGCCCGGGGGGACGCCGAATGTCTAAGGCCGACGCAATCGGAGCATCTTTTTTTAATTAAAAAAAATTACCTAAACTAGTATTAAAAAAAGAAGTCCCGAATAGTCATAAAAATATCATTTTTTAGTCCGCGGTACAAATATCTTTCATAAAATTATTAACATCCATCTAAAACTTCGTGAGTGACTTCATCTTATTGGAACTTACAACTTCTTTATTTGCGAAAGTTTTCGGAAATGGGGCATTTTCAATCTTGAGATCGGTAAACTTTGTCTATTTAATAATATACCAAAATCTCACGAACACGCATTTGCTATTCACATAGGTAAGGTCATTTGATCAAACAATCGAGAAAAAAGATGACCTACAAGAATATATGGCCGGTTGGTATGACTCCACTTCCAACATGTCAAAATAACGTTGTTATATAGGCCAACGGTTCAATATTTTTCAATTATTCATATTATTCAATATTGCAATTCCAGTGATACAGGTATTAATGAGTTTTTAGTATCTCATTAAATAAATTATTAACACCTATTAAGAGTATAATCAGCTGGCAAGGTCGGAAATTTGCTTAAAATACTAGGGTTTTTTCGGCCCTGGGCTTCCTAGCATATATATATATATATATATAAACCCCGAAATTAACAATAACACCTGAATCAACTCAAGCGACTCTGAATCAACTAAAAATGAGTCTATTTTTTTAATTTTTAAAAACAAATTATAAAAATTTCATAAATTAGTTTTAATCCGACCTTTAAAGCCATGTGTCTCTGACATACAAGTGAACAGTTAGCTTGCCAACGTTTCGCTGATTCAGGGATCATCCGGGCAGAAAAAACAATATCACATGTATGAAGAAAGAAGGAAAGAGAAAAAGAAAAAAAAAGAGAGAAAAAAATTGCTATTGACAGCTCATCAAGCAAATCCAAAAGCATACTGAAGTAGACTGAAGAGGAACAGCTTATTAGCAGGGCTACAGGGGAATGACAAAAATATGTTGATAAAATTAAATTAAAAAGAAAAACAAATTAAAAAATCTTCCCTAAAAAAAAAAATGCTCATAGATGTATAACACATACGATAGGTATATATCTTACGCACCCCACAAAATTTAGTGGATACGCGACTACTCCACAAATAATACTACTAAAATGAGAAATAAGCTCTAAAAGAGCTTCCATTATAAATGGGACAGTTCAGACTATAAAGACATGAGTCTTTTACACACAAGTGTACAGTTGAATTGCCAACGTTTCACCAATTCAGGCATCATCGGGCCAGCAAAAACATATATGCAGAAAGAAGAAGAGTATATTAAGAACATTAGTTTTAATGTTCGAAATATATCAATCTTTTTTGACGATACTAACGGCATCGATATTTTACATTTTATATATTAAACATTAATATTTGTTTGTTATTTTGTTTAGGCAGGTCTTTGTAAACGTTAAACTGCACCTGTTATGATGCTATAACATTCGTAACTAATGTGAAAACCTATAAATAATCGAAGCATTGAATATTATGAGATGGGAATTGTTGATACGAAAATACAATGGTTCGGTGGCTGACCATAGCCAGCTTGAGAATTATTATTAAAATACCGAGAAGGTTTGACTCGGCTCCCACTAATCAGGGACCACAGGCCAAATTGGTTCCCACCTAAATTGTTGCTAATAAATATCCTGGCAACCTTAGCCAAACCTTTGTTGAGGTTCGCAGCCACTATTAGTGTCCTTTTGTTTAGGTAAAATGAGGCAGGGTGGAGGGAGGAGGTTATTGTTAATTTCGGGATTAATATATATATTGTTACCAGCCGTCTCCACCTCTGCCTAACTTGGTCTACTGCTTTCGAGTTTGCGGCATGAAGCTCAGCCGTATCTCTGTTTATCCTATCTATCCATCTGGTTTTTGATCTCACACGTGGTTTCCTTCCTACTATTCTGGCATTCATTGTTATGTAAAGGCGTCCTGACGGATTGCTTCGAGCTACATGCCCCGTCCATCTTATCCTCCTTGCCTTCATATCATGAAATATTGACTGACCAGTTTCTTTTAGCAGTTCTTTATTGTTCCTTCTCCTCCATGTGTTCCGGTTTTGATTTTAGATAGGTCCTGTTATCGTACGGAGAACTTTTGTTTTGAATCTCTCAATTCTTGCTTCTAGTATGCCGGTTAGAGCCCAGGTTTCACATCCGTGCAGCAGAACTGGCTTTATCACGGCGTTGTACACCCTTTGTTTTAGATTTCTGGATTTCAGTGCCCTTGAAAGGGAAAGGAAGTTCTGTTCGCACTTGATATTCGCTGGTCTAGTTGATCGTTTTAAAGGTTATTGTAGAGCCGAGATCTGCTTTTTTTGGAATCTGTCTACTTTTGGGAATGTCTTAGTGTCCGAGCGAGTCTCTCAATATCCTCTTTCTCTCTCTCTCTCTCTCTCTCTCTATATATATATATATATATATATATATATATATATATATATATATATATATATATATACATATATATATATGCTCTTAATTGCCAAACTATGGGGAGGGGGTGATTCTAGAAGGGACTTCGAACAAAAGTTTTATTTCATGCATGTGCCGATTCTGTACAAAAAAGTAGCTCACATTTTTTATTCCATAAGTAGAAATTACTCAAACTGTTCAGGATCGTAAAGTACGCAACATTATATATATATATATATATATATATATATATATATATATATATATATATATATATAAATCGGCAGATAATTTTTTTATTTAACCTAAATGTGTATGTATAGTTGCTTATATACTAATTCTGTTAACTTTCCTAACAGGCCATGATGGCGGAGACATAAAGGTTCGAAACGTTGCACCATTCAATGTTCTGTCGCCGAGAGCTATTCTAGAGCCCAACACCACCTCAACCCCGGCGGTTGACAACTTCTCATCCTGTAAGTAAAATTTGTAGTAATTTGTTATGAGATTTTTTAAAATTATGAGAGAAATACAATGTTGATTATTTATTTTATTGAGGCTCGGATTGTGGATTGGGTTCCATTTTGAAGTTCCTTGAAAGACGCATAATCAGCTGGCAAACGGGTTCGACGGTATTTGGGCCTTGCTGCATCCCTTCTTTTCATTATTTCAGGAATCAGCCAAGGTGCAGTGGGACGACGTAAGGTTCAAGTTTTCAGAGGAGAATGGGTGTCTATTAGGGATTGTTGGTTTGAGGTAAGGGTAGATACCATAGGATCAATGGAATTAAAGGAAGATATGATGTCCCATTGGAAAAAATCAAGGTCAGGTTGAAGGGATTCATAGGAGAGAAGGTTTAATTTACTGTATGAAACCATTTTGGGAGTAAAGGATTTTATAAGTTTTGAGAGTCAGAGATGTATAGGTCTAACCAGGTGTCGGAAAATTGTGTGTGATCGGTAGGAGAATAAGGAACAATATAAAGATAAAAGGAAAACAGTAGGTAAGTTAGGAAGAATTTGAGCTCTACCAATGGGTAGTTTCTCTTTATGTTGTACATGCCATGTTACCAATTTCACATTTACTTATTGTATTCTGTATGTAATACAGTTGTAAACTCCATTAAAATAATAAATTTAAAAAAGTTAGGAAGTATTTTTCAGGAGATTGTGAAAGCATATTCACTTTAAAATCGCCGTTGATAATAATATTGTTGTAATGGGAAACAAGATTGACAAGGGAGGAATGAATTAATGAGAAATTCTTTATTAAATATGCATAAATTATAAATTTACAAAATACACAGAACATATATACGGCATTATAATTCGTCTGCCGGATGATTCAAAGAAGTTATCGAATGTAAAACGAGGAGGGTGGTAAACTACGGCAAATGACAGAGGAGAGATAATAGAGTAAATTTCAACGAACATGTATTCTATGTGCGGAAAGTCATGAGAAGGAGACTGCACTAAGATTTGGCCTTAAGACTGTTATGGCCTTACAACCCGGCACCACCTCCCAGCGATCAGATCTGTCGTTGCTTAGAAAAGAATAATTGGGTAGGGAAATCGCGGAGGAAGGTATAAAAGATTTTAACCAGGTTTCATATACTGCTGTTATGTGATTAAAAATATCAATGCAATGATTCTAAAATTCATCGAAGTGTGCAGTAAGGGATTGTGCATTGATGTGGCAGGAATTCAGGATATTAGTCATGACTGCAGAATCGGAAAGTCGAATTTAGGTTAAATATTTACGTTAGATGAAATAAATAAAATCTGTTTCTCCTTTGTCCTAACTACTTTATTAATTAAACGTCTACATTAACATTCATATTAAATGTTGTTCGAAGTGATTTCCTTGAGCATTAAGACAGCCTCGGTATCTTTCTTCAACAGCAACAGTGGAAGAACGGCACTGGAAATAAATTATTGTTTCGCAAGATTCAATTATCCTTCTTCGTAAGGAATTAAGGTCATGATGGACTTGCTGAATCATATCTCATATCCCAATCAATGGATTGGCCGCGCAGGACCTGCGGCTTGGCCTACACGCTCTCCAGACCTGACACTACTGGATTTTTTTGTTTGGGGTGACATTAAACAAGAAGTCCGGTCAACGACCTCAATTCCTTACGAAGAAGGATAATTGGATCTTGTGAAACAATAACACATATCCAGTGCCGTTCCGCCACTGCTGCTGTTGAAGAAAGATGCCGAGCCTGCCTTAATGCTCAAGGAAATCACTTTGAACAACATTCAATATGGATGTTAATGTTTACATTTTATTAATAAAAATAGTTAGAACAAATAAATAGGTTTTATTTATTTTATATAAAGTAAATAATTAATAACAACGAAAATCTTTAGGTGTGAATATCTCCTAAACAAAGCGTTTGCAGACACACCTTTAGAGGAAATTTTTTTCTTGTTTTGAGATCCTTAGTTCATTTTTGCAGTTAGGCCATTTAACCCTGCAACACCCTGTATATAAATATATTTACAAATTAATTTTACTCATTATGTCAGCATAATATTCTCAAGTTCATTATTGAAAACATGTTGTATTAATGTTTCATTTTCCCAATTATTATTTTTAAAATCAGCGGTTCCTGTCGTCAATGTATTTACTTGTGTATTATTTTTATTAGATTAATTGAGGTCACAAAGACAGACGTAAACGTTCAAATCGCCAGCTATTATCAAAATTAGTTCCCTATTATGATTATTAAAATCAGCGGTTCCTGTTGTTAATGTAATATGTATTTACTTGTATATCATTTTTATTAGATTAATTGAGACTGGAAAGACAAACGTAAACGTTTCAAATCGTCGGCTATTATCGGTATTAGTTCCCAGGTAGTGACTATTTCTCTGCCGAAAGCTTAGTAGCTGTTTTGAAAAGAAAAAAAAAAAAAAAAAAAAAAAATTGACAGTTGACAAATGAGTGAAGCGCTGTCACGCTGACTGCCCCAACCATTTCGTCTTATTAGCTGTTGGCAGCCTTAAAAATATTCCCCCTTACATACCAATCGCCTTTGACTTTGACGGCGAAGGGCGGAGAATGAGGCACTCTTCCATCGCTCTGTCGTCAAACTCATCAAGTTGGAACTTTAAAATAACTTAGTACGAGAGTAATTACATAACATCCACCTTATCATCCACAAGTATATAAACATTCTACGATACCTAATAATAGAATAGAATATATATTTATTTTTTTTTGGGTACTGGCCCAATACAAATACAAATGGAGCGGATACACACATTTTAATTATTACAATATAATATTGTCGAATGAATTTCCAATACTAAAATAAAATTAAAACTGGAGTGGTACACACATTGTGATTATTAATATATAACATTAGCAAATTAATTTATTATACTTGAATCAAAGTATTCTTTTTATACACTTTTTTAATATTAAATGTAGTATTAATATTAAATCCTGTACCGCCATCACATCTTCTGATTGTCAACAATAAGTTGACTGATGCAATTCCATTTTTTACAGACAAAAAAAATTTAGATTTTTTTTGTCTATACAATACACATTAATCAGCAATGTAATATTCATGCATTACAATAAATAATGATTTATTGTTAGGCTATAATTTGAAAAATTAAATTATTTAATAATATGGGTAATATTCCCGTCAAATAATATATTATAACACAATACAATATAATATTATATAATATAACACAACATATCATAATATAATACAACACAATAATATAATATAATATAATATATATTGTACTTCACGGGCGGATCTAGGAAGGGGAGGAGCTTTGGGGCTGAAGCCTCCTCCCCCTCCCCCCACAAAAATGGTGAAATATAACCATGTTTTATATAAAAAAAAATATTACAAAATTATCTCTCAAAGTATTATTGTTCGTGTAATTACATTTAAAAGGACTTTAGGAATCACTTAAAACACCATTTCATATAGGTAGTTAGTTTTTTTATTTTTTTCCAAAGTAGTTATAGTTATTTTTATGAAAAAAAAGCTTCCGGTATGAAGCCTCCCCAAAAATTAAATCCTGGATCCGTTAGTGATGTACTTCACAACCACAATCGCATACCGTACCATACCATACACCGAAACGCTAATAACACTGCCCAACAAATATTTTGTTTGCGAGTATCTTCGATGAAAACTGTTTTTTCTTGACTAATTTTGGTTTGAGAAACTCGAATTTTCTGTCTGAACCCTTAAATTAGCTACCGTTCTGCAGATATGTATACCCTGTATCAAATACAAAAGTTAAGTTATTGGAAGTTACACGAACATTCCTAATGGTTTAAAAAGCTTTATTATTTGTGAAATACTTTTACAACCCAAAAAAAATTAAATTACAACTTCTCTCGGCAAGAAAAGCGCTGTTGTACAGTTTATTTAGGACGTTTATTCTTTGCTTGACGATTGTATTGATGTTCTGACAAATCCTTCACACAGTTCCAACAGTAGTATGCGAGCATTGAAGTATCCCCCTTTGATATCTTCGTTCCATCCAGGATATATCTTGGTGAAATCGCTCACAATATTCGTCACTTACAGAACCACAATTTTCGAGAAAGAAGTCCAAATGAGAGTGAAGAAAGTGAATTTCGAGTGACATGTTACAACCGAGATCTCTGTACTTCTCAAAGAGGGCTTGGACTATGACAGTATAATTTTCCTTTCTTTTGTTTCCCAAGAAACCATTAACTGAAGCTGTAAGTGCTACCCACGCTGATCTTTCTTTATCCTGAAGAATATTAAAAAATTCCCCGCCATTAAGAAGTTCTCGGATTTGTAGACCAACAAATACACTCTCTTTAACATTAGGTTCACTAATTGTAATTATAATTACACCAACCATACCATATGACAGTACAGTGTACTACTATTACAGGATATCACTACCACAACGCAAATCGAAATATTTTACAAACAAATAATAAAAAAAAATATTAAAAAAACCTGTACCAGTACAACCCATTCAGGGTCTTGGGTTCAGTTCTATTTAGGGAAAGCACTGTTTCAAGGCCTTCGGTTGTGCAGGGAGGGGATCGGGCCAGGATCACACTCAACCGCCAGGTTTTTCCCCTTAATCAATTACTTAATTAAGAGTAACCACTTTATAGAGGCTGGGTGTGCCCCAGAAGGGTCTCACTACCCCAGGGTTGCCCCACGGACATGAAACAGAATAAATAAGTATTCTGCCCTGAGCCGGGATTCGAACCCGAGACCTCGAGCACCGGAAGCTTAGTGCCCTACCACTGAGCTACCCCGTTCCCTCAATAATAATACATAAGATAAAAAGTATTGATAAATTTAAACTATAAGTATCTATACAATTTGGGTAAATGCTCTAAAATATAAACTGGATATCTCCTCTGTAGTTATTGTTTTTATATATTGTTAATCCTATATAATTATATATTATTTTAAAAATTGTCTGTAGTGATTAATAAGTATCCTGTGTTTTTAGCAACCCAATGTAATTGGGCAGGACCATTTTATGATAATAAAGTGATTCTCTCTCTTTGTAAACATGACAGGGATCATTGAATTTAATGTATTTAATAGTTCTAAGCTATAGGAATTATAAATGGGACAGGTTGTGAAAAAAATTATGTAAATCTCCCCTTGCATTCAAATTACACAATGAGCATAAACTTTCAATGCCTAATCATGCTATCAGCAATCAAACAGTTATACTGAAATACATTTCACGCTGTCATTACTTAAAACTAACAAACCAGTAACTAGGGAAAAACATGAAGTGAGGAACAGCGACATTTCTTTTAACGATTAATAATCTAAATCAGACTCATAAAATTGTTGGCAAAAAAAATTACTTACATTGATATGAACATTTGTCTAACAATAACGCCGAATTAGCTTTGAACCCATACCGGTGTCACGACTGAGAGGAAAGTATCAAACTTTGAGCTCCTTTGGCTGACTGTAAATATTGTAAATAAGTATTAATTTTTTTTTTATGAATTTTATATTTTATTTAATGTTATTCTAAGTTTCATTTCTTTTATTTTTCTTTTTTCTTTTGTTAAGGTTGTATTTTATATATGGTACGGATGAGTCTCAAATAGTTCTAATGCTTTCATTAGATAACATGCAAAATGTATTATTTCTTAATAAAAAAAAATAAAAAAACGAATTAGCTTCGGAGTGAGCACTAAAAAAGACACACTCATACACGAATATCAGGAGCATTCTATCAAAAGTTAATAAAATAATAGTTAATAATAAGGACATAATAAAAATTTTTATTTCATTTTTAACTGAATGGATGAATACAAAGGGGCGAATCTACAAACTTTCTTTATTTAATAAAGTTTCTTTATTTTAAATGTAATTATTAGGGCTAGAAACAGTAAGTTTGTCACTACTAAATACGCTTCAATTCTTATGGCAGAAATCTGGGAGAAAAACACATCATAACCACCAAATACATGAAAATCATTATTTTCAAATATTTCATTCTTATGAATAAAATGCATGTTTAGACAATTAAGTTTGTTACAATACATCCCACAGTTAATTGTTTATTACAACAACAGTTAATTGTAGTCATTTTTGATTTTTGAAAAGATGAGTACTTTAAGGTGACTGGATAGGAAATCACAACATTTCTTTACACAACTTGAGGTGAATCTTCAACGTTTTCCTTATAAACCTCTAATTAATTAATCTAGACTTAAAGCTTACTGAACGAGAAAGTTTTTCTAAAAGTGGAGTATATGTAGTACAGTTGAAGGATGTTAAAAAAAAATCACGAAAAATTTATGAATTTTTTTCAAACGGAACTTAGCTGCGCTTGTTTGCTCAATAGTCCCCTTCAAATAATTTTAACAATGACAAACTCTGCTTTCTTTAAAAGTAAATTTCATCTTGTTTAATATGGAGCAATGCTTAATTACTTAAATCAAATATTGTTTAAGTTATCGCTTTCTATTTAACAAAAAAACGTGAACCGTTTAAAATAACACAAATCTGAAATTTACTATTTTTCTGCAATCTGGCAATTATTTATATAAATCTATTCCCGCTCTTGAGGACTGCTATCATCCCCTTGAATTTTTCCATCTACTTACAGAACACCTTGTATATGTATATATATATATATATATATATATATATATATATATATATATATATATATATATAGAATAGAATAGAATATAAAATTAAATTTTATTCTGGGACTAAGTCCCTTAAGAATAACAATGATGTGTTAATACAAAGTAAAGTACAAATCTGGCCAAAAACTAACTTCTAAAATTTTTAATATCATATACATTATTTAAAAAGCATTTAACCAGTAAAACATAAAAAATAAAATATATATACAAATGAACATAAAATCTTCTCAAAATTACTTAATTGTGATGAAAAAAAAAATAATAAGATAAATTACATATTTATATATACATAACTACACAATTTAGAAACAATAGGCTATATAATAGAAAACTAACTTAATACAAAATGGAATAATATCTACAGTGGTTTATATAATAATATGCAGACACTAAGATAAAATAAAGTCTTACGATACTTGTGGTGTAACGGGAAAAAAAAATAACTAAAAGGAACTATTTATACGTACATCTCATATTGGCACACATAAAGACAAAGATATAAAATATGAACATATATACCCGAAAAACAAAAAGGACAACCTGAGGAGAAGAGAGAAATAAATAAATAGTAAAAATAATAGTCAAACTAGGTGACAAAGATCATTGCTGTTTTATGTTAAAACTTAAACAGTAGGCACCACTATTTACTTCACGCAAATTCAGTTCATAACATGAAATTTATGGTGGTATATCTTCTGTTTGGGATGTAAGGAGATATTGGAAAAGGAGGTATTTGAAAGTAGACAGGGAAGAGGCATGACGGATGTTATGTGGCAAAGAATTCCAATAGGAGACGGAGCGGGCTAAGAAGGAACGTTCATAGGTTTTTGTTCTGTGGAATGGAATATAGAGGTCAGAAACACTATATATAAATATATATATACGCTTTCGGGCTGAAGTCCCTCCAAGATTAAATCCTGGATCCGTTAGTTTATTATAGTG